TACAAGGGCTGGGAAAGCAGGACAGGTATGGTACCTGTGCTGCAGAAGTGGTTCAAGCAACTTGCCAATTCTGTGGCCAGATGTAGCTTAGAGTGTGGAAAAATATGTCAACCTGACGTGTCCTTTAGGTGGAACTCAAACACCACAGCTAATCCTAATGAATGTCTAATTCTGGTTGATGACGTTCTTCCCCTCTGAATTTCCCCCCCCCTCCCGTTTCCCTTGCAGGGAGAATACTTTCGTGTCCTATGATTTGTGCAGTGGGACTGTGTGTCGTTAGGCAGCCGCTGTGCTCTCTCTCAGAGGTACCTCACCCTACTTGCGGATGAAGAATTCTGCTTGCAGAAGCAGTGGAATGCTCCGTGATCTTTGGACCAAAGGTATTATTTAAATAATTGGTGTTTCTTAATTGCTATCAAAAGAGGAGTTTCTAGATGTTAGGGCAAAGTTATCCCAGAATCATAGTGAAAGTCATGGTTCTCCTGGAGATCTTGGATATAATTAAAGGATGTTACTTAGAGAGGGGATAATGGGAAAGAATGAAAAATCCGTTCAGAAATGAAAAATTAGGGGGACAGAGAGTTGTATTTTTTCATATAATAACAATATAATTAAACAATAAGCCCAGAATTTTTAAATGTAACTTGGTGTAAAAAAATTGTTTTAAAAGAATGAGCAATAGGAAAAGTTTCGCGATCGTTTAAAACAGTGGCACTTTCTAACTGGAGAAGCACAGAGGAAACACAAGTCGCCTGAGTAATGGTATCTTTTTAAAATGTGTCCCTTGATGGATATTATATGGTTGTATGGCACAGTATTTGGGTGAAGGGCACCACAGACTTCTCTGAACTTGCCACGGTAAGAGAATTTTCTTAAATTGTGACTTCCTTTGATAACACTTGTTCAATCAACCTGTGTTTACATGGGAGAAGGCTGGTAAATGCATTTTTAGGATAATTTAATTTAGTAGCTGCTAGGATAGCTTTCAGGTCAGGAGTGGAAAGTCTTAGAGATGTTCTGCCGCCAGGAGGCTCACAGCACTGCTTGTGGAACTACTCAGTGTTGCAAGTGGGTGGAAATTTCAGAAAAATCCCCACATTAGAGAAGTCAAAAGAATGATTTACTACTTTGGTCTTTAGTTTTGTTTTGAGTTCAACAAGAAACATGGGGCAGGAGCCTTCCCATAGAGTATGGGTACCCAATGTAAGAAAATAAGCTAATTACATCTGAGACCGTGCAAGAAAGGAACATTTTGGAAGGAACTGAGGGGCAGTGAAGGAACTTAGGAGTCAAAGAGCACAGATGTGAGTGTCTTTTGAAAGTTAATGACTACATCCAAAACTGAAAACAGCAAAAAAGAGAGCAAATGAAAACCCAGACAAACATATTGGTAAAGCTCTTGTTTGCTCCAAGACCTTTATGCTTCAGTGTGCCTGTTGGGGTTTTACATGCTGGTTTTCACATGCTGGATTGGGAGGAACAGGAGACAGAAAGCACAAGCCAATCTCAAACTAAGTCACACTGAGCTTTCTGGCAATTGCCCTCAAAAGTAAAGGGAGTGAAGTCGCTGTTTTTCCCAAACATCGATTTTAGAGTTCTTTGTCATCCAGATTGCACCGTGACATGCAAACCTTGTGAAGTTGAACAAAGCAAAGTGCAAGGTCCTACACTTGGCTTGTGGCAATCCCAGACACAACAGGTTGGGCGGAGAAGTGACTGAGAGCAGCTCTGCAGAAAAGGACTTGGGGGTGATGCTTGATGAAAAACTCGACTGTGCTGCGCTTGCAGCATAGAAAGGCACATGTACCTGGGGCTGCATCAAAAGGAGCGTGGCCAGCAGGTTGAGGGAGGTGATTGGCCCCCTCTACTCTGCTCTTGAGAGACCCCACCTGGAGTATTGCGTAAAATTCTGGTGCCCCTAACATAAAAAGGACATCAAGCTTTTGGAGCAAGTCCAAAGCAGGGCCAGGAAGTTGATAAGAACACCTACCTTATGAAGAGAGGCTGAGAAAGTTGGGGCTGATCAGCTTAGAGAAGAGAAGGCTGCATGGAGACCAAATAGCAATCTTCCAGTATCTGAAGGGGGCTACAGGGAAGCTGGAGAGCGGATCTTCATCAGGAACTCTGGTGACAGGACAAGGAGTAGTGGGTACAAGTTGAAAGGGGGAAATTTAGGTTGGATATTAGGAAGAAATTCTTTACTGTGAGAGTAGTGAGACACTGAAACAGATTGTCCAGGGAGGTTGGGGATTCCCCATCCCTGGCAGTGTTCAAGGACAGGTTGGATATAGCCTTGAGCAACCTGGTCTAGTGAGAGTTGTCCCTGACCATGGCAGGGGAGCTTGGGACTAGGTGATCTTTAATGTCCCTTCCAAACCTTAACATTCTATGATTCTATGAATCTATGATTCAGGACAGGAATCCCCCTGTACTGAGACAAGTGGGGACTGTTTCATGAGTTTTCTCAGACTTGTTTGGGCCAAACCAATCCGGTCGTGAATCAGGCCTGTAAAGTGTGTGTATTCATGTGGTTTCTTCTCCTTTCAGTGATTGGACTGAAGAGATAGTAAATAAAGGGTTTGAGTGTGACTACTGGCTGCATACTGACAGAATTTCAATTAATATACTTCTCCATTTTTCATCTCTGATGTCCACACATGATTTGTAATTGTGAGTCATAAAGACATCTCCAGGAATGGCTGACAAAGCTTCAAAATACAAGAAAGACACAACACATAGCGCTAGCCTTATTTAGCAGGGGAAAATGTGTGTCTCCCCATGGACTGACCTCACATTATTCTGAATGTCAGAGATAATTCTAAAGCCACAGGTCTTCAAACCACTCTCATCTCATCAGTTATCATTGGCACCATGAAAAAGTGCCGCTTCCACAGATGGATGCACTCAGCCTGTGACCAGGAAAACTGCACATCCATACACAGACCACAATGCTCTGAAGTGGAGCAGTGTGCTCATGCACTGGGCCATGGCTACAAAGAGGGCAGTTTGGTCTGCACCGTTTGCCAGCAGCAGGCCATATCCTGAAGCTAAGTCTATCTTTCCTCTCTTACCTAGCCCCCATTGCTAATCAATTCTAGGACACAAGAAGACTTTCAATGGCCTGCAGATATAAGAGAGAATTGAGCACAGAATTTGTACTGAATGCGCCAAAGAAATGTAAGAAGCCAACTGTGTAATTCCCCTTCCTTCAGCCTTCCTGAATACTGGCTCTAAGGATCTGCATTTGGTTTTTAAAGACATTTTGTAAAAAAGGGGAAGAAAAGCTGCATGCAGCACTGAAGTTGTAGTGTCCCAGTTAATGATTCAGCTTCTCTCTATAAAGCAGCTCATATGAGAGAAGCAGCTTGTCACACACTCAGTGACAAGCAATTCCCCTCTGCAGGGAATGTGGGTGTAATTCCCACCTGCAGACTCATGGGATCCTTCTTCATGCAAGCATCGCCAGCAACATGCCTTCTCCTGGAAGATGGCAGCCAGGAAACCATGTAGGATCTTTTGAGACTTCTGTTCTCACAGCTCAAATATAACCCCTCAAGAAAGGCAAGCAAGTGTTATCTGGTATTCTTGCCTGGGTTTTGTCTCTCTCACACTCCTGTTTTCAGTTCCGGTTTTGGTCTTTGCTCCTGTGAGACAGTCATTGCAAAACATGCCCAGCTATAGCAGTACAGTCTCTCCACTTATGTCTCCAGTTGCTAAATTGTTTTAACTTCTCCTCTTACACATCTGCATTGAATTTAAAAAAAAAAAATAGGGCTATCCTTTATTTTTTTCTTGACTGAAAGCAAAAATTCTTATTTATTTGCTGAGAAACAGTTTCTGTAGTTTTCAGTGGCTTGCACATGCCTTTTTATTTAGGCAGTCAGTTGCGTGGTTTAACTCAGTGGAGCCCAGCCTGGGAAGAAAACCCCTTGATAACAGTTCACCATGTAGTAGGGCAGCCAGAGTAGAAAGAGGATGACCCCTGTCTACAACAATGGATTCTGCATGAGCCCTCCCTCCCTTTCCTCCTCTTCTGCTATGACAGCTGTATCACAGAAAAAACTATCTATATCCTCTGAGACAGTTGGACTTCTTTTTCCCCTTTCCTAAGAAAAGGCAGGATGAACCTGGAAAAATTATTGGCGGTTCTGTACGTTACAGTACACACACAAAAAATATGTCAGTGGACTGAGTGGAATTCTGTATTAAATAGAAGAAGAGACCAGGGACCCAGGGTAAAGACCCAAGTGTACCAGCCTGAAATAAAACATGATGAAAAATGGGGAACCATCAGGAAACTGACAGCAGACAGCAATCTCACTGGTTTTAAGTAGTATGACAGCTGCAGAGTTTTCACATCTGCTCCAGCAAAACAGGACTCTTTGGAGCTGTTTAAAGGAGGAGGGTGAAGGATCTTGGCAAGGATAGTGTGGAGGCTTCTCCCAAATATATGGAAAATGCACACAAAAAACACAAAGGCGCTGCTAAAATGCAAACTAGCAAGCACAGACCAGTCAGGTGCAGGTGCTGTTCTCTGACCAGTGCATGGGAATGACATTTGGCTGTTTACCAGGATTTACCATGAACCCAAGCACCCAGAGAAGTGTTTGCTTATGAGACAAATCACAGGATTTTTTTCTTTTTTTCTAAAAAGATACCCATTTTTCTTTACCACAAACTGTGTGCTGTTTAGCCTCAACTTTTACAATCGTACAGGATTTCTCTCCATTACTTTTATTGTTGTGAAGGACAGGTTCCTGTTACAAAACTGAAGGTCACACACTTCATCACTTCTGGTAGCTGACATCATCACACCATCTCCCCCACCTCCTCCTTCTGTGTCACCCTCTCCTCCCCCTCTACTTTCAATTCCCCCATCTTCTTCCCACACTGCCAGGTCAAGCATGCTCCCCATTCCTCTTTCCCCCGCTTCAGGCGTTCTGAGTACTTGTCTTGCCCACTGCACCCCGTGGACTCGGTGTTCCTCCCATGGCATGCACAGTCTGCAGTAATCTTGCACCACATCAGCTTCTCTGTAAACCAGAGATCTGCCATGCCATGCTTGATGTTGTTGCTGAAGGCTGGGAAACACACAGAAATCCTTGCACCAGTCTATGGAAAAAGGTGAGAGTTACTTTCTCAATACTCCCTCTCTTGCTAAAACTTTTTGGTTTACTATTTCTTTGGGAGTACTGGAGTGTTTTTAACCTCTAACATATTTCTTTCCTCCTTCTTACAGTGTCATGGAGGTCTGCATATTCTTCCTTTGTGCTATGATATCTGTCCCAGGTAAAAGGCACATTTTTAAATAGTTAAAACTGTTTTGATTTTGTGTGTCCTGCTATGGGATACTATCTCATCCACTAAGAAGCTCATTCCTTAGTAATAATTAATCATTTCCATTGCACAGTCAAGGTCATATAACCTATGTGTTGTATTTAAATTGTGTGCAGGTACTCTATAAAATATATATAGTAAGTACTTTCTCTCTTCAAGTTTATATCTTTATATTACACTTATTTTATGTTGCTCTTAAATTTTCAATTTAAATCTGTCTTTAAAATGTGTGTATATCACCTGTGTGTATTATAGAGAAGAGCAGTATTAAACTGGAACCTGACAGTTTGATATGGGACAACTGGAGTTTTAGGCATCTGCAGAGATCATTTTGCTGTCTGGTGCTCTAGAAGAACAGTCAAAACTTTGCAGTAGGAGAGATACTGTAAATCTTCTCCACGTTTTGAACACAGCAGAGATGTTTGCATCTTCTGGGACAGAGGACTGCATTTCTTATTCCAAGAAAAGACAGTCCTCAGAGCCCTTTGCCACCCATAAAAATGGATACGTGCGTGGATGAAAGTGGGAGAAAACTCATCCTTTGTGTAATATGGTTCATCCTTTTTTTGCAGGAAGGCATAATTTTGTTTATTGACCATTTTTGTTAACAAGATCAGCAACAGAACAGTTAAATCTGACATTTAATCTGTCATTAAACTCTAGATTAATTACAGAGCAGTAAAATCTGACATTTAATTTGTCATTAAACTTTAGATTAATTCTTCATTGAGACTGAAAGTGTTCACCTGTTTCTGACCTTCTGGTCATACATTCCCTAGACACTCACATTTACCAAACAGTGTGTACTTCACATTTTCTTCAAAACTCCAATGCTGTGTTGTTTTATTAGGAGAATGAACTCAACTTTTTAAAAAGGAGTTGTGCAGCTGTCTCTTCTGGGGCAGAATTTCATTTCACTCAGGATGCTATGAACAAGAATGGTTTGGACCTTAGGCCTGCAGATTAGTCTTCTAAAATATAGATGCTCACAATCTCTGTGTGGTAAACCTTCCTGGGAAAGTAAAATATAGGAAGAAAAATAAGAAACAGTTTTATGACTTGAACTCCATAAGACTAAGTGTGTCGGTTTGAACAACTACTTGTCTTGTCATACCTAGTGGGAGAATTTGTGTCTAAATGCTGGTGGTTTTATTGCCACTGCCATTAAGTGTTGCCTCTGTGAGCCCAACTTGGTGTTCTTTTGTAGCTGGTGGAAATCTCAATTTTTCTCTCTCTCTGTCTAAGGTATTGCTGCCAGTGTGCATCAGGTGAAGGCATTTCTCAATCACACTGCATACCTCTCCTGCTATTTTCCAAACTCTCAGAAAATTGACATGAGGGACTTAATAGTTTTTTGGCAAAAAGGCTCTCATAGAGTGGTGCATGAAGTATACTACGGTGAAGAAAAACGTGATCACCTTAGTCCTGAGTATATAAATCGCACCAAGGTGGATATGGACAAATGGACCTTGCAATTGTTAAATGCAGGAGTTAAGGATGAGGGACACTATGAGTGTATCGTACAGCACAAAAAGGAAGGACCACCAAAGGTCATACACACGTCTGAGTGTTCACTGCACATCACTGGTAAGTAATCTCTTCCAATTGCCATCTGCTCGGAGGGTTTTGGGGGGGATTCTCTGTGACTTTACTCAGTCCAGAAGTACGGGTCCTGCCTCCAAGCCACTGAAAATGTACCTGCACAGGAGTAGAATTTCTAAAGATGGATAAGAGCATTCTCAATAGGAAATCCTTATCTGTGAATGAAAAGTACTCAAGTAGAAGTAATCAGAAGAAGTAGAAAATGAGGCAATAATTTGCTCGATATTACATGATCCCTGATTTCCACCCTGTCATATTTTACAGTGAAAACCATTCTGCCTTCTTCCTCTTGCCTCCTGCAAGTTTTACGACTTTATGGACTCTGGAAAATAAACTTTCTTTGCATCTGATGCACTACCTTCTATTAAAAGTAGCAGTAGTTATCATCGTTGGTGGTACATTAGAATTGAAACATAGTAAGATCTCTGCAAACACCCAGCTATTTTATGATCATATAAATCACAGGGAAAATAAAGAAAAGAACAGCTCGCATGGAGGAGTAGAAATTCATATGTGCAGTTAAAGGAAAACTGAAAATATCTCTGAAGAAAAAAATGTATGCATTAATGAGATTCAACCTGATTTTTTGCACCAGAGAATTTTTTGTAATAAGAGGAAAAGGCAGTAAATCTTTTAACAGGGAAATGGAAATGAGGCATCAATCTTTTCCTAATATTTTCTAATATTTTTAATAATTCCTAATGTATAATCCTAATGTTTTTCTATTTTAAACTATTCTGTTAGCAACCTTTAACAATATGCCTGTGTTCTGTCTTCCACTGTGATAGTGCTAGCCATTAATAACAGCAGCTTCTAACTTCCACTGGTGTTTTCAGGCTTCAGCATACTAATCTAAAAGAGAACAGGCCCTGTGTAACTGCAGGCAAAAATGGAGTACCAGAATATCTGAACCTGTTTAGCTTTGTGTTACCAGCAAGTGTTCCCTCGATCCACAAATAGAAAACCTAGATTGTTCATTTTGATTCTCCCAGGATCTACTTGACAAGCATTTTCAGTGAAGTTTTAGAACTCAGAAACTCATAATGTGCACTCAGTATCAAGGCCTCCAATTTAAGAGATGCTTAGCATCAATTACTCAATTAGTTCAAACAGTTAAGTCAGTTATCAGCTTAGCCAACATCTGAGCAACATGGTATAGATATCTCATATTTAAGCACTAAGACTCTCCTACACCTCGTAAGGTTTATCTCAGGAAGACTGTCTGAACTGTGTGCTGTTGGGTTCCTTCCAAATGGCTCTTTGTTCAATAAATTCCTAAACAAAGGAGCAGTATAAAACCATATTTTAAAAAAATCCCTTCAAAATAATTTGAAGAAAAATACAGATGTTGAAGGGAAAATGCAAATGTTGAAATGTACCTGTGCTTACATGCTGTTTTTTAATTAGAATCTCATATCATACATGGAGGGCTTTTTGTAGTTTGGCATGTCGCACTTAAAATGGACTTCAGAAAGATTGTGTGCTGTACAAGAATGATAGGGCAGTCACACAAAGCTATCTAGATCACTTGATAACCAAGCCTATTCAGAAATACTGAAGTAGCTTCTAATACAGTTTACACCGGTTATTTTTATGTATTACATTAGTACCATATACCGATAGCATGAAGCTGTGTCAGGGGAGGTTTAGTTGGATATTAGGAGAAGGTTTTTCATCCAGAGGGTGGTTGGGCACTGGAACAGGATCCCCAGGGAAGTGGTTACACCACCAAGCCTGCCAGAGTTCAAAAAGTGTTGGGACAATGCTCCCAGGCACATGATGTGATTCTTGGGGTGAAGGGCAAGGAGTTGGGCTTTGATGATCCTTGTGGGTCCCTTCCAACTCAGGAGATTCTATGACTCTATAATATGTATGTTGTATGTATTGGGTACAGCCAGGATGACATATAATAACAATGAACTCAGATCCTTCCCCAGAAAAAAAGGGAAGGCTTCACAGTGGAAAACTTTGGCTCTTAAAACGTGCAAGGTAGAGACCATGATGACAAGCTGCTTAACTGGAAAATCTGCTGCAATAGCATGTCTGCAGTGCATCTTCTGGATGAATCAATAAGGGAAGTAGGTGAAGCTAGGGAAGCTGTTCAAAATATGCACTATTCAAAGTGCTGGAAATTAAGCTGATGTCAGAAAAGAGACTTACAGTTTGTGACCTCATTTGAAAAGGGATGTTGAAAAACTGTAAAGTATGAAGAAAAGCTCTACTAAAGTTATCTGAGGGCTGGAAAAAATACAGTCCAACTAGAGATGTTAAAATAACAATCTGATTACCTTATAACACAGAAAAATGAGAAGAAACTTGTTTCCAGAGTGTGGGAACCTGAAATATACATAAAATACTGGATATTAAAAAATTTTACAAGGGTTAATGAATTCAGTGATAGTCAGTGTCTGGAAGCAAGTGAGAAGTAAGGCACATTGTCACTTGAGAAAATAGAACAAAACCAAGTAGGGTGATTAAGCCATTGAGAAAAATAGTAAGGGCTTGATGGATCTGCTGTCTCTTGAAGTATTGAATCTAAACCCACAGCCTTTTTGGAAGATACTATCTTTAACTATGAAAGATGTTCTGAAATGTGCTTTTCTGTTAACAACAAAAAACTCACATATATGTAGTCCACACCCTGCATGCAACCAACATCACTTTTCAGTAAATTGAGGTTCCAGAAGCTATAAAACAGAAATGCCGAGTATATTCCACTATTTCCACTTGCTTACTGTCAATAAGATTGAAACCCTTAAATCACTTGGATGATGTGACAAGTCTCACAGCCATGGATTACAATCCTGCCATCTCTATAAAATATCAAGGAGAGAATAAATTCTCCAGACCAGAAGTCTGACAGCAGTCAGCTAAGCAAGTCAGACCTTGAGGAGAAAGAGAAAGCTTGAGCTTTCCTGAGGGACAACTTAACTAAATTTTGGGGTATAAAAAGGGGGGGCTTTTTCAATTTTGATTTCATATCCGCGGAGTCTCTTGGGGAGATTTAAGTGACTAAACTAAATCCTATTCCCTGTGTGCTAGGATAGAGCAAATAAAGCAACATCATGTTTCTTCATTCATCCATTAAGAATACAGTAGGGCAAGGATTAAATCCTGGATCCAGCACACTGAATGTCTGTTCAGAAGAGCAAGACCCTCTTAGGCACATATTTTTCTAAGAATCCTTTTCCCCTTCTTCAATATTTCTCCATATTTTCTTTAGTCCTATTGGCACTAAAATAATGAAGCATTTTCAATGAAGTCTTGAGTCTGTTTCTTGGGGTTTGTTGCTGATTTTTGGGAAGGGGCTGTTGTTTGGTTTTTTTAAGTTGCTGTATGCCAACATGTAGTCAGTATTATGGCTACCTTCTCTCCTTCTCCTTTCCCATCAGAGTCTACTAGTTTTACAGTGACCTTTTAACCAGAAAAATCCTGGTTGAGAATATTTAGGAGATTATTTAAGAGAAAGTAGTGGTTAAAATCTTCTATTTTTTCATTCATATTTTATGTTTAAATGGTTCTTCCCAATTCTGTTTCACTATTTCTTGCCTGGGAAACTTCAGTTTTTAAAGCAACAGGTGTGTTTTTCATTGACTCCAATGAGTACCAAGTGACACAAAGTAAAAAAACCTTATGCTATGGTCTTGTCTACCTAAAAAGCTAAGTTAAGGGAAGCCTTAGCTCTGATGAGTGAATTACTTTATATGCTGCAAAATGTTTGCTCACAGTATTGACAGACAGCAAGGATATTTCTGCTCATGACAGCCCTGCACCTCCAACTTACCCCATCTGAATTCTCTCAGATGATCTCTTTCTCTACATTTCACAGTTACAAGTTTGTGGGTTTCCCCTTACCCATTCAGGAGGTCAAAAGTAGGCAGCATTGTGTCCCCTTCCCATTTTTTGCTTAAGCCCTTACCCGTAAGCAGACCAGGTTTGATTATTCTGAGGTGTCAATGTGTCTAAAGGAGGTGGGAGAGATAGAGGCCCATTGTCTTGCTGATCAGACTTACATCCTTGAAACACCCTGAGGACAAGAAGCAATAAGTCTACATATACACCAAAAAAAACCCAAAACAACAACAAACAACAACAAAACAAAACAAAAAAACACAACAACAACAAAAACCAAACAGACAAAAACCCAAACAAACAAAACAAAAACAAAAACCAAACCAAACCAAAACAAACAAAAAAACAAACAAAACATAAAAAACCCCTTCTTGGAACACCCATTGTCTTCCTGAGGAAAACTCTTTAGAGTTGTTTCTGCCTGAAAATCTTAAATAATTCACAGGAACTGTCAGAAATGTGGTATGCCTGGCTCATGATGCTTTCTCTTTGGTCTGTTTCAGCCAACTACAGTCAACCTGAGATAGCACAACTGCACACTGGGGAACTAAAGCCCAATGGATACTTGAATCTTTCCTGTTCATCCATTGGAGGTTATCCAGAGCCCAAGGAGATGACTTGGCTAATTTCATATGGAAACACAACATACAAGCATATGCCTCACATGGACGTCTCACAGGATGCTGTAACAAAGCTGTACAATGTTACTAGCAAGCTGAATATCCCAGTTCCTACAAACAGCCTCACTAATATTAGCTGCTTGCTTCACCTCAGAGAGCAGCTGGGAATCCTTGTCTCAGCACCACTACATATTGGTGAGTCTCCATTTGCCCATTCCATTTTTGCATGGGTAGGAGCAGGGTGTATTGCAGTAGAGCTGATCACAAATAGCAGCATAGTCAGGGTAGGGAGCAAACCCTAACTCGTAGTAGCAGTTTGTTACAAGGGTTGTATGTTCTCCATCTGTTTGCCACTGAACTCCCTTTCTTTTCCACATGGGAAATCTTATTACAGCAAGGAGAGGGCACAGAGAAGGAAGGCTACTGTTACACAATCCAGAACACATCATCCCTATTCATCTCTTCCCTAGAATATGCTGTAGTAGCAACAAAGCAACCTGGATGTCTGGATTAGGCAGCAACCTCCAGAGGTGATAGCTTTTGAGAGAGGTTGATACTTCACAGACTCAGAGAATTGTTGAGGTTGGAAGAGGCATCTGGAAATGATCTAGTTCAACCACTCTGCTCAAAGTAGGGTCAATAGTTAGCACAGGGCCTTATCCAGTTGAATTTTAAATACCTCCCAGGATAAAGACTCCACAACCTCTCTCAGCAAGCGTTCCAGATTTTGACTACCCTAACAAGTAAAAAAGGGTTTTCTTTCTTATGGTTTAAAGTGCTCGAGCTGCTATTCTTAATCATTCCTTACAGAAAGGCAGAAGGCAAAACAGAAGAGCCCCTTGGACCATATTTGGTTCACAAACTGCCATATAGACTGTGCTGAGTTTAAGTGTAAAGGCCATGAAACTTGGACTAGTATTAGAAGCATTCCTGGTGGTTTTCATAACATTTGGCAGAATGAAGTGCACATTCCAAAATGACTATTTGGGGATTTTTGTTCTCTGAGATTGTGTCTTTTTTGAGACACCTCTTGCAAGATGAAGCTGGGGACCTGAGTTTCAATATGACTTTACTGTTGGATTATCTCATGGTTCCACGTGACTGATCCTTTATTTAAATTAAAGCAGTATTTTATTTATTTTCTGGAACAGGAAGACACCTTTGGGCATACTTTTGTTTGTAAACTATGGCACAAGCACATCAAAATAAAGACAATTCCCACTTTGGTCATAAGTTTGGTTGTCTTGCACATGTCTCTTTAAGACAATGCTGAAGATGAAGAGCTGTACTTCAACTGACAGGAATGGGGAACCAAGAGGGAATGGTAGCATTGCAGGAAAGCCTGCCAGGGTAGTACAGACATGCACTTTCCTTCTGTAGATGTAAGAGAACCTTGCCACTTTTTCTGAAAAATTTCTACGGTGCAGTTTCCTTAATATAAATTTAGCTAAAAAGTTAAGTTATCAATGGCAAACTGCCTCTAATGTTTTTAAAATTCTAGGACTTTTAAAAATATTAAAATACAATCCAGAAGTCTTCTAAGGTTTGTTTAGCTCTACACATTCCTTGTGAATGTTGACATGGCTATATTAGCTATATTAGCAATAATGCTGCATCCTCCTCAATTATTCCCTCCTCCCTGGCTTTATGAAAGTAGTCACCTGATAAGCAGAGATGGTAAGAAACCAGAAACTCTGCATAAACATAAGTTTTGTTTGGCAATAACTGAACCTCTATCAGCTGCTAACCCTACCAACCAAAACCTCAAAAACACAAAAACCAGAAATAGAAGGAAAGTCCTTTGCATTCCCTGCTACTTTCACATCCCTTCCAGCATTTCATTAGGCTTTGACCATCATTTGCAACAGATACCAAGTAGTAACATATCCGAGGTTCTTTGAACTTGCACAGTAGCATTAGCACAGTAGCTGCCTCCTAGGCTCTTGTATTAAGTTGCCAATCCTTCACATGTTACCCAAACCTCAGAAAGAGTGCTTTGCCTTCCTGTTGCTGAAGTGATGATTAAGACCTTGTAGTTTCTCTGGGTTTTGGAAATGGAAATAAAACAATATGCATAGTGATTTATTGACACTATTAAAGCACTGTAAAAGCAAAGGATGCTGAGGGTCTTTACCTAAACTTCTAAGTCACTTAACTTTGAAATAGAGTGTTTAAGCTAATGTCACCAAATTAAATATTTCCTATGTGAATCTTCTGTGTTTTCTTATTCAGAGATACAGGAGAAAGAAGTGGAACAAGTAAATATAAATTTCTCTGGCCCGCTTATAGCTGTGGTTGTACTGGTTGCACTTCTTCTGGGTTTTGTGATATTGAAGAAGATCAGAAATATCTTGTCTACCAACCAGAGTAAGTTACTACATGTCATTCTGCTCTACCATCCCTCAAGTCATAGGTTTTACGCTTTGTAATCATCCCTTTACCTTCTTTACAGGTAAAGAAAGAAAGTTAGGTTTCATGTTGGACTTAAGCTAAACTTCCTAGGACAATTTAATTCCTGTAGGACAATTTAATTCCTCCAATAACTTAGTCCATCCTGCACCAAGTCAAAACATCTTTCTCCTGTCTTCTCCTGGGATCTACTTCTCCTTCTTCTTTGTGTTCTGTGAGGCTGCCATGGCACCAGCTTACCACCTTTTTCTGTAGTTTCAACCTTTTTTTTTACTGGCTTTTGAGTAGATTTGGCTCCTAAAATCATTGAACTGTATAAATCGTTCTTATCCATCACTACTTATAAGAAAGGTGGAACTGGGGAAGGGATGAACTTACATGAAGTGCAAGGATCTCCATCATCACAGAGCTGAATGATCACCACAAGCTGCCCACACACTTCATCTGCCCACACAAGAATCATCTTATACTAGAAACAGAATTTGATCTTTGCATTGCATTTCTCTATTTTCTTCCAAGACTAGTACTCAGCAGTCCAGGGTTTGTTTGGCACTGAAAGGATCCTCATGCTGACATCAGAGTCTACTCTTCTTTGTAGCAAAAGGGAAATGCATTCCTCAGTCAGTCCTGTTTCCTATACAGCCAAGGGCCCTGATCCCCACCTCATTCTTTTTTCCAAATTCTAAGATAACCGAACATTTACTATCAACTCTTTTTCAGCTCCTATTTATCACATTTCTGTAAATCACATATTCATCTATTTTAGGTGTCAGTCTAGCAGTCTAGAAGCTATCCATCTTGAAACTGAGGCCATCAGCCAGACTACTGACAGAGAACTGCCTCAGCACACAGCAGGACCTGAGGTCCTATGTTTTTAGAGTCTCTGCCAGAACGAGAATCCTCCACAGATGCCCTACAGAACAACATGCAACATTTTGTCTAATGGCTGAAACCTACTGCCCAGTGTTCTCTGTTTTTATTCTTGCTCCGGGATGGTAGTAAATATGATGCTCTGCCTCTCTGCATGACTACATTTTTGATGTATCTTTTATTGCGCTCTTTGAAAATGTAAAATCCTGACAGTGAATGAAGAAAGCAGAGCTGCATGGGTTATGGAATGTCTCAGAAAGAGAAGGAGTTGGGCCACAATCTGTGAATCATAACCATTGCTGCAAACAGGCAGGCTATTAGTCACAGAATCACAGAATGGCTTGGGTTGGAAGGGACCTTAAAGATCATCTAGTTCCACTCCCCTGCCTAATCATGAGGCACAAATGCTTTTGGCAGAGCCAGTGTGGCTCTGTGTACCAGTAACTTTCTTGTAAAGCTTCACGCCAGTAAGAGGAACTTCAGGGCATTTCCCCACCTTCTGAGAAAAGTCGTGCAATTCCTATCAGGCATTTGAAACTAGAAATAATCTCAAGGCAATACCTGCTTTAAACATAATTTCTGATTATCCTAATTTTTTTTAATATCATCCAAGCTTTATGTGCCCAGACAGTTAGTACTTCCATGCTTTGTTCTTCTGTATTCTGACCGAATGCCGTAGTAGTTGTTCAGGTGGATGCAGGGATAGAAAATGAAAGCATGAGGTATCATTCATACATGTGTATATCTAAACATACAAAATTAAGCTGAGCAGATAATGAAAAATATTACATGAGTAGGTCATGTTCCAATTTGGTTGACTGTGTTCTCCCCTTGTTAATTTTGCTTCAAAACTGAAGATAGAGTGATCTATACACTGTAGTAAGTTCAGCCATAGGAGAGTTTTACCTTTCAGAAAAGATTCTTTTTCACTCAGAATGTGCCAGCTTTCCAATCCTGAACGACCTCTGCACCTTATATTCTTCAACAGCACTGACATCTTTCAGGAGCAAGAACACAGCAGAACTGAGACAAAATTCTTCTGAGGTCTTGCTTGTGTTTGTAGGTCTGGCATTTTCAGAAAGAACAGGGACACAGGCATCATATTCTCAAGACAAAGTTCAGCTCAGAATTGCAATTAGGGGACATAAATTCTCTACAGTTTCTCGTGCATGCAAATATTCTTTTCTGTTAAATGGTATTGTGAGTTGCTAGATTCCACCTCAGTTTTTACTCTTTTTTCAAGCGTGTCAGAGAAATGCATGGTTTTTTGAGTTACCTGAACTATTTGGGAGTCAGTTTATTAAGCTATTACACTAACATTCCAAATATTTTCATTCAGATTCATATCATTCAAATGTTATTAAAAGTTAAAGGTTTTATTTTTATGTAAAAGTTTATACTTGCTAGCAAACTTATTTAATGATTTATTAAAACATATGTCTTTTCCTGTGTTGCTGTTTTTATTCTCCTGCCATTAAAGCAGTATATTGGGGAATACTGACATTTAGTGTTCTCAGAGAGGAAACATTTCCAGAATTACTTCTTGAAAACAAATGAATAAAATAAGTATTGATGAAATGACCAAGAATGGCACAACTGGAGGTTTTCATATGTTCATCCGTGGAGCCGCCTCTATGTGCACAGATCAGTGTGTACATACCTCTTTGATCTACTGACCTATACACCTCAAAGATTAGATACAAATCTGTAGTCTGAAAATTTTTGATTCTATGTTGGAGGTTGTCAGATATATCTCCAGTGGGTCACATAATCTTCTCTAACTCTTGATGCCATTTGGTTCCTTAATTAGTACATGCATTAAACAGTCAGGTATACTAAATCAGATAGACACTAGATTTGTTTTGTCTCTCCTGCTTTTTTTGACACATGCTGTAATTCAGTTCATTTTTTTTTCAACATTTTCCTTTCACACTCAAGTCATCCACCTAAAATCCTCACTAACACTGAGATTGTCAGAACAATAGTCAAACCTTACGACTACCCAAACAACGAGCCCTGGGGGTCTTTTGTCTTCCATATGACTAGATTCACACATATGTTGTTTTACTCACAGTCTTGGAACTCTCCTGCTGGTCCCCACATTCTGATATGCTGCTTGTCTGGTCAGCTTTATGCGCTGAGGGAAAAAAAACCTCACCAACCTTTCATGTTTTTCTATAGGAGAAAAACAATAATCAGTTCCTCCACAATGGACAAGGGATCTGGATTCCATTTTAGGACTCAAGAGTCCTATAGCACATTCACTTAGCAGAAAAAAATAATTCCGAGCACTTGGCAATTCAACAGTTTTTGCAACATGCCTTAGTACCTCTGAGGGAGCTTTTCACCCTGATACAGTATTTGCTGTCACTATCTGTAGCTGCAGCTAGTGGAAAAAGTGACATGGTGAGTTAGGTTTATCCTTTGACAATTCCCTTCCATCATTAATTTGTTCCTAATTGGTGAAGTTGTTTGTTTTCCTCCTTGCCATCCATCTACTTTAGGCTGCCAACCTTCTTCTATTACCTGCTTAATTTCTCTACCTCCTCTTATTCTTGCTCTTAAAATCAACTCTAATTCCCTCCTGCAGTTAAAGACATTTAAGGGGAAAAAAGCAGATGGGCTTCAGGGAAAAATCTTAGTTTGTCTCTTTCTGTTCAAATGGATTAATCCTCTGCACTAGCAGGTGTAATGAGCACAGTGGCAAGGCACAGGAAAAGCATGGCTGATGTGCTGGTATTTTTGTCCTCTATACAGCTACATTCAGATTTCCAGGCTCTCTCCTCACACACTTCACTTTTTTCTTTGGCAGCATACTTTCAGTCATTCAGTGACTCTATAAACATGGCAAGCAAATGAATAAGCATACGCCTCTATGTACCACAGCATGTAACAACTTCACTTAAAAACACCATTCCTTTATTTTCAGGTAGAACATTATGAACTGCAGAAAATACTAACAAAGAAATGGCAAAGGTGTGTTAAACTAGTATCCAATGCCCTAAAGTAAAATCCTGTCATCAGACTTAGAGTTGTGAAAGATTGCTTCAGGTTCACTGATTAACCAGCAATGAACCACCAAATAACTGAGACTGGAATGGACATAGGGAGATTGTCCAACTCAACCCCCCTGCTCAAGCAGGGTCACCTGGAGCAAATTGCCCAGGTCCATGTCCAGACAGCTTCTGAATATCTCCAAGGAGGGAGATTCCACAACATATCTGGGCAAATTGGTGCAGAGCTCAGTCAGCCTTCACAGTAAAAGAGGGTTTCCTGGTGTTCAGAGGGAAACTCCTGGGTTTCAGTTTGTGCTTATTGACTTTGGGCCTGTTACTGGACACCACCGAGAGCCTGGCTTGGTCTCTTTTGCACCCTCCCTTCAGGCACTTACACACACCAATGAGATCTCTCCAAGGCTTCTCTTCTCCAGGCTGAACAGTCCCAGGGTACTCAGCCTTTGCTCAGATGAGAGATGCTCCACTCCTTTAATCATCTTTGTGGTCCTTCACTGAACTCTCTCCACTGTCCATGTCTCTTGTCTACTAGGAAGCCCAAAACTAGGCACAGGACTCCAGGTGGTGCCTCACCAGTGATCACCTCCCTCAGCCTGCTGGCAATACTCTCGCTGATGCAGCCCAGATACTGTTGGCTGCCTTTGCCACGAGGGCGCACTGCTGCCTCATCTTCAACTTGTCCACTAGGCCACTCCTGTCCTTTTCTGCAGAGCTGTTTTCCAGATGGTTTGTCCCAGCCTGTACCTGTGAATGGCATTCTTATTCCTAAGGTGCAGGACTTTGAATTTCCTTTTTTATTTTGAGGTCCCTCCCTGCCCATTTCTCCAGCCTCTTGAGATCCCTCTGGATGACCATATGACTGTCTGGTGTGCCACTCCTCCAAGTTTTCATCATCTTCAAAGTTGTTGAGTGTACACTTGCTCCCAGCATCCAGGTCATTAGTGAAGAGGAAAATCAATTAGTTTTACTGTAAATTCCTTAATGTCACCAGTGCTACTGCTATGGTTAACAGGTGATGGAACAGTGGAGTGTTGCATTTCCAGAATATTCCACAGTCACTTCTGAGAAGATTGTCATTAACAAAGTATTTCATGGCAAATGTCCCTTAGTGGATTTTTTACCCTTTCACGTGAATTATTTGCTACTGGAGGTTACATTTGACCACAGAAATATGGTAACTCTATTAAAAAAATCTAGTTCTTGTGTGTATTACCTCTATGTTTTGGTTTCAAATTCTTTTTCTTTCTCCTTTCCAAACTCAGAAGGCAACAAGAAAAAAATATATTAAGTACTTCTCTACACTGGAATGCTGGACTGTCATAATTCATAACTGATCTCTCTTTGGTTTTCTGTTTTCTGCACTAGGAGGGCCATAATGCTGAGACAGGGAAGGATTTAAGCAAGACATGTTTTCTGATCTCACAGTTGACTACCAGAAGGTTTTCAGGAGAATATCTACAATTAGACAAGAAAGTTGGTGAAAGTTGAGAAAGACTTGGAAATGAATGAGGTCTGAGAAAGTGTAAGGAGAAGAGTGATACGCTGGGCTGGCTTGCAACAGGAAGTGCACATGCATCAAGAGCAGAGCTGCTTCACAGACTCCAGGAAAGCTGGGAAAGGCTACTCTCCAGACAGCAGACATGCCACTAGCAAGGAGAGGTTCTGCTCAGAAGTCCAGAAATCCAGAGTACACTTACAGCTGTTGACGTGCCATACCTCCTTACATACTTCTGATATTTATAGCAGATATGCAAGATCAAATTTTCCTGCACTTCCTGGTTTCTTGATACTGACACATGCATATTTTTTGTCCATTACTTTTGTTAATAGAACTCTAAAACAAAGAAACTAATGAAAATCATAAAAATTATCCCTAGCCACCCATTTCTAATAAGCAATGCTTATTATTTCAGAAGGACATAGACCTAGGAAAAAACAGAAAGATGAGTTGAGGATAGCTCAGACTGCAGTTACATACCTACATGCACAGCTGATGCACTGTGTATATTGCCTGCCCTCTTCTGAAACACGCTTTTAATTTAACTTGTACAGGTGTGAAAATGAGACTATGACACAGAAGCAAAGGAGAGATCTTACTTCTTTACCTTGCACTGTTAAATGCACTACTGTATCCAGAACCATAAGTCATATCTCAAAAAGATGTTAAAATATTAGAATTAGAAAAGAAGTGATAAAAAGTGACTAAGGCTCTAGAAAGCATGTTTACAACGTGAAGTTTATGGAGTTCAACCTATACAGACAATGAAGAAAATGGAGAAAGGACCTGATGAATCTGTCTGGTATTCCAACAGTTGAATTGATTGGAGATCCTTCCTGCTGAGTGACTCACACTGGGGAACCCAGAATTGGACACAGTACTAGAGGTGTGGCCTCATCGATGCTGAGCAGGGGGGAAGAATCATGTTCCTTGACCTGACGGCAACACTCCTCCTGATGCAGTCCAGGATACCGTTAGCACTCTTTGTCACTTAAGTTCAGTGCAGTGTCCACCAAGACCCCCAGGTCTATTCCTGCAAAGCTGCTTTCTAGCTTGTCAGCTCCCAGCATGTGCTGATGCATGGAAAGGGGACAGAGAAGCTGAGTTAAGAGTCAGAGTAATCAGGTTTCTTGAATGGATATGAAAGATCCAGTATATACATACATATATGCCTACATGTTTGTACTGTGGAATAGAAAGGGACTGATTTAACAAAATATTAGAGGAAAAACAAATTATGATACCTAGCAAGAGATTATATGTGGAAAGAAAAGCCAAGACAAACCCAAGGAGAGAAGATGCTCAGTATCAT